GTGTGTCCCCTCCCCCCCCCCCCCCCCCCCCCCCCCCAAGGCCAGATCTTCCACTGTTAGAGATCAGCAATGAAGTTGAGGGAGGTCTGGTTACTGATACCTGCTGAAGATCCCACTCAGTCTTTCTTTGTGTGGCCTCCCTGTCACACTTTGATATGGCTGAGAGTCCTTTTGGGGACGACAGGTTCATTTTTCTTTTACCCCTGTGCGGTGTCTAACTCTCACTGAAAATCATTTTTACGCAGAGAGAGCACATCCCTGCTTTATTAACATCAGCAACAACAATGCAAACCATTCAGAGCTTGTTAAAAAAACTTTTACTTTTCATGGTACAGCAGAATTTGATGTGGAAGGAGAGTAATTGGACCAACTGCACTGTCAGAGACTTGAGACAAGGACCCAGGTGTATTTATGACCGGTCTGTTGCTAAAACCCACAGATCAGAGTATTTTGGATTAAGAAATGTTAACTCAGAGCCTTGGCTACATTAAAACTTTTGCACAAGGGTGACAAAATGCTGGGAAGGCCCAGGTCCCTGAACACAGCCTGGCATCCCTCTCCCACAGCTGGTGCCTGGCTGCTTCATATTGCAGTGGTACAAGAGCTTGATAGGGATAACAGAAATCAGTTTTAATTGTGTTTAAACCAGTATGTCTTTTGCTAGGCTGATCTTAAATCAGCTTATTAACACTGTTTTCTAATGCTCACAAAATACACATGCTTCTTTTATCCATTGCAACATGCTCTAGTTTATCTACCATGGTTGAAATTCATTCTGAATTAGGAGCCAGAACAAAGAACTGTTCACTATCTACATCTCACCAAAGGCCTAATGTGGAGGGCAGGGGGAATAAAAGAATTGCAAAGCCTTTGTAGTAACCCAGTCTAGAAACTGATTTTATCTTTAAAGCTGTAGCTGTTCCCTTGCTGTTAAATCTTATTTCACTCTCTGCTGGTTTCGGAGCACGTATAAAGAATATGTATTTGACATTACCATTTTTTTATTTTGTGCTTTTGCATGAAAAATCCTTGCCCTTTCCAGGTATGTTTCTATGTGTGTAATGTTAGATTGGATCCTATGATCATCTGTGTGTAAAAAAAAAAAAAAAAAAAAAAAGTCACAAGTTAGAAATGGAAAAGGGTTAATAAATTGCCCACTGTATGATGCTGTTAATATACTTCATCTGAATTCTACTTTTCTGTCTGTAATGGTCTACCTTCTAAAATGTAATTAACAAACATATCCATTTTAGTTTTTCATTCTGATACTAAAAATAGCACAGCTGCTTTCTCACAAACTAGTGCTGCTGGTCTTGTGAAATTAAAATCAGAGGACTGGGAAGAAATCTAAAAGCACTGTGCTTAAAACACAGCTATGTCTGGACCTGGCCACAGAGAATATGAATGACATTAAAATAGTGTCATGCAGAAGGGGTGTCGTTTAGGAGCCATGATGAATTTTTCTGGGAAAGTTGCATGGTATCAGAATTTCAAATTTCTTTTACACTGAAAATCTGAATGGTCAACGTCTGAGAAGGACACAGAGCACAGTATGACTTAGCAATACCTTCTCTTGTGTATGTTTTGTTGTTTAGTTTTCTTTAAGTGCATTTCTGCATTTAATGCACACTGTTGTTAAAAGAATATGGGAACCAATGGCACCTTTTGGTCTTTGTGCAAAAGAATAGTGTGTGTGTGTGTGTGGGATACGTTCACCCTTAAAGGCTGGATTATGCCAGCGTATGGGAGTGGAAAGCTCTGTTTATTGCGGGAGAGGCTTTTTCCATCTGCTGGAAATGAAGCAGAAGGGGGTTAGTTTGACAACAGAAGGGAAAGTTTCACTTCATTCCCTAAGAAGTTCATTGTTTCCCTATGTGGAGTTTGGTTTTCATTTAGCGTCACGAACCTTACAGTGATTCTGCCTAACAGTGAGCTTTCTGCTGGCAGGCAGAGATGGGGACTGCAGTTTGCAGGGACAAGAGGCTGCTATGGCTGCCTTTTTTTTTTTTTTTTGCAAAGAGCGAACACATACAGCACTGGACTTTGAGCCAGTGCTGGTGGCTGACCTTGTCTCCAACAGAGTCAACGATGAATCCCTACATGTGTGCCCAGGGGCAGAATTGTACCTCTTTTTCAGACAGGCTTGAAGAGGTGCCTCTTCAGATCTTAGGTCTAGGTAAAAAAAAAAATTTATTTTAGCTGTTAGTGGTACAGTAAGAGGTAAAGCCCTGAGCCTATTCCTGCCAATAGAAATTTTGTCTTTGGTATGCTCGCAGCCACCAACCTGTGTTAAACAGAGAGGCCCCATCCCATGTTCTTTGGAATCTGTCAGACCAGTTACAACTGAAATACTCACATATCTAGAATTAGGCTTTTAGCTGAAGTACCTTACAACACAAGGACATTAGGGCGTACATGACTGCTTAAATGCAAAATTACCACAGGGACCCAAATAGAAGGAATTAAATGTGAGAAGCCTGAATAACTTGTTTAAATTTAAGAAGTTAAAAATGAAAGCTGTGAAGTCTGTTAAATTATCACGCCCTTATCTCTGTCCAATGCAAAATTGCTCTGCCTGTAATGTGTTCTGTGGGTCTTTGTCTAGACTTTGTGTGTCTAGAGAGACATCGGTCTTCATGATGTTGTACCCAAATGGCACGGCTAAGGGTTTGCATGGACATTTTGTCAATATTTCAAGCTACCAATGTAGCTGTATAGCTAGGGCAGAAGGTTAGTCTGAAGCTCTCAGCATCATTTTCAGGTCCACAGAGCTTCAGCCTTTGAATTAATATAGTGGACATTTTCCTCAGCAGAAGGCAGTGCCTTGCTTGTGTGGTTCTCTCTCACCCAAAGAAAAGTGTTGGAGAGGGAAATACAGGAGGGATAATGATGTTTTTTGCTAACTGGATAAAGCCTCTGAAATTAACAGCAGCTTCAGCCCTTCTTTTCCCTTTTCATTTGCCCAGGATGATGGCACCCCAGCGAAGACATCTGCAACCCCCACTGAGAGCTGCAGTGCAGCACTGCGTGTATTTGACAAGCTGAGTTCGACACTCAGTGTGCAGAGTGTCAGTTTGTCAAATACCCCAAGTGAGGCATTTGCTGAGCAACGCGGCGGCACACCGAGGGGACCGGTTCCTTCCTCCCACTCGGGCAGGGGCCTTCCTGTCCGTATTCCGGTCCTCTCCAAAAACCCAGCAAGGTATTGAACAACACATCCCATCGTTACTGAACACTTGACTCCGATCCTGTGCTGTCAGACTTCCCTTCCACCCCAATTTTGGAAGTCCCTATCACGGTAGTTCTCCTAATGGCAAATCTGTACAGAAGTGGTGCTGGCACAGTTTCTGGGCATTGTAAAGGCAGAGAATTGGGCCCTGGCTCCTTATTCTTTGCAGCCAAAGACAATGCTGTTCTCTTCCACAGCATTAACTAGCCAGCTGTTAATCAATAATCTTGCTCAGTTAACAGGGATTCTGGCAACTGTAATCACAACATCATGGGTAAGGGCAGCATTATCCATAATACAGAATCTTTTCTTTGGACATGTAGGAATCTTTTTTTTAATTTGAAGTTGGAGGACAAACTAATAAGGCTGCTGATAACTTCCCTATATCCCATTAGCCAGTGAAAAATGCATGTTTGCTCAATCTGTTTTTGAATTAGGCCATGGAGTCCATCGCTTCTCCTTGAAGCCTTGTTGTTTGGAGAAGACTCCTTGTTTTGGGATAGTTATTCCTAGTCAGCACTTGCAGCAAGGTTGCTTATTGCTTTTCTTGCCATTCTGCTATTTAGTTAAAGTAATTCCCTCTAAATCATCCCACTTGAAGATCTAATGATTGGTAAGCATTTTTAGTCACTGACTTGTAGCACATCAGATCTGCAACTTGAGGTATCTCAGGGTGGGGGGAATGACAGAGGGAGAGTGCCCAACCCAGTTTGACAAATCAAACTCTCTGAAAGCATTTAGCATTGAAAACTCAGAAACTAAGAAAAAATCCCAAGACCCTCCTGACTTGTTTTAGGACAGTACCACCAGCAAATTTTGCAATGTTTGACAATATTGATAAACTTTAATACTAAGCTTTTGGGCTTTTTGTTGCAACTATTTCTTGCTAAATATTTTGAAGAAGCTGGAGTTTGTACAAAGCTGGGACTAATGAATGTATAACATTGCCTAAGCAAATTGTGTTCTGCTTTTTGAATAGGTCCTATCAGTAGGGCTTACTGTGCACTTCTGGCCAAACACGGTCTTACTTGTTATGACTCATACTCCTGTGGTCTCTCTCATGCACCTACTTATGACTCACAGACATCACCCTGATCTTTATCACTGAGGTCAGCTTCAAAAGAGAACAAAGCCTATTATTTCAGGGTTTGTTTTGTCCCCAGTGGATCCTAAATGTAGCAGGCAGCTGTGTCAACCCCAGCCCTTTCTGCCATGACAGGCCTCAAGGTTTCAACAGACCTAAACTCTTCTGCACCACAACTAGCACCACAGTGCTGGTTTATGCTCTTCATCATTGTTTTCTCATGCATTTCCAGTTCTTGCTTTCAGTAGTTTGCCCCTCTGCTTTTTAGATAACTCCACACCCCCTGTTCCTTTGAGATGGCTTGGGGGAAGGGGAAGAAAATTAACCCCTTCCTCTCTTGCAAGCAGAAATTTCAAATTATGGTGGGACAAATTTCTCTGAGACTTCCTCCCCCTACTCCCTGCTGAGAACAGCAGGTTCAGAAGGGCTCTGAAGGCCAGGGCAAGCCTGGCAAGTGTAAAAGCCAACAGGTCCCTTCCGTTATATGTGCACTTCAGTTGCTCTGAAGCAAGGGGAGCTGCAAGTCTCATGACATTGTGCTGGACACTAGAAATAGCGTGTTTTTTGGAGGCAGTGTAGTTTCAGAGCGGAAGCTGAGGTTTCCCTTCTGTGCTGGAGCAGAGCTGGCACTCGGCAGATGAGTCACATCACTGGGTGAGTGACCAGCGCAAGGAAAGGAGAAGTTCTCTCGTTTGGCAGTGATACAACAAAGCAAAGCCCTCTGTGACTGTCAGAAGAAAGATGTTCTGTTTCCAACAGGTTTTACTACAAACATGTCAAAAATATAAATAAAAAAATAATTGCACACTTGCTGCATAGGGAGAAACAACCTCAGCACTAGAGAGATGCTTTTGTGTTTCCACTGTTCTGCTGCTTATGATCAAAGCCGTTTTGCTGCCCGAACTAGAGGCAGTGCCAACGTGGGGTACATAGCATCTGCTCCAACTGGGACATCTGCTACCCCTGTCTTAACTCCTGTTGCCTTCTTCCTCTGCAGCTTCTCCCAGGCTTCAGGTCTTCTGAGGAAGTTGCCCAGATGTCCTCAGAGCAGACCAGCGCTGGGAGGAATTGAAAGTTGGAAAAATCATGGTGTTACATAGTCAGGGAACTTGGAGCTGAGAGCTTATAATGGCAGCAAATCTTGCATAAAACATTAGGCTAATTGAAAATGAAGGAAGATGGGACTTGGGGGGGGGGGGGGGGAGTGCCATGCCTTGTGTTTTGGGCCTGGATGTGCTGATGTGAGGCTGGGGAAGCTGAGAAGTTTTCAGTTCCCTTCCCACACAGCATCGACCTTGCACCACACACTTCTGCCCAGCATGAGGATGGTTGCAGCTCCCTGTTCCCCTCATTTCTTTTGTTTTGCACCACCTCTGAGATCACTGACACCAGCGGCTGCTGCTCCAGCCCCGTGTCTCCAAGGCCACCTTCTGGGAGGGTATGCACTAGCTACAGCAAATGCACTGCTGTGTGGGGTGGATTACCTTGCCCCAGGTGCAAAGCAGGAGAGACCCTCACACACACTTCTAATGGTCCCTGCGCTTCTTGCCCTTGGTCAGGGCACAGCTCCCCTCCTCTCCAGCTGGGACAGGGGAGCTGGCCAGGTCTGGGAGCTAAGACACCAGTGCTTGGAGTGGGGCCTAGGACTGCCATCGTCCCTGCAAGGACAGGCAGGCACTGCTGGCTGCAGCCTGCCTCCCCTGGGAAGCGCAGCAGCCTGATGCTGCAGCACAATCATCCCTATGCATCCATTGCTGTGTTTATGAAACCTTCATAGTACAGGCAGGAGACATTCCTCTCTGATCTTGCCTGATAATCACCTGACATCCCGAAGAAGCGTCATTGTAATTCAGAGCACTAAAGGCAAAAGTGAGGCTCTTCTTCCCAGTGCTCAGGCCATAAAAAGCTACGTGAACCTGCTGTTAGGCTGCTGACCTGGGAAGGGAAGATCCATGGCAGCTGAGACAAAAGCCATATGGGTCCAAGTCAGTGGAGGCTGGTACTGATTTAATAAAAGCCAATAACTCTTCCTAAAAATTTGCTTTGCTAAAGCCAAGTGGCATCCCCCCTCCCTGCCCTGGGTCTGCCTGCCAAGCCTGTAGGACAGAGGGACGCTGGCTGTAGGTCTCCGACAGACAGAGAGGGCAGAGCATGGCAGCAGCACCCCGGCACATGTAAGATGCAAGTGATTAATACTGAGGAAGCAAACTAGGCTGTTGCATAACAGAGCGTATTGCAGGAAATGCAGGCACAGCTAAGTATGCAGCCTTGCTGCTTTTGTAAAAAGGAACTTTTCTTCTGTTTCATTTTTGCCAGGGATCTAGGAATGCCCTGGGGTGGGTTTAAGCAGCGGTGACAGATGGCATACTCCACAGCAAAGCCTGCACCCCATTAGCAAGGGGCTCACAGTCTGGGGGCTCCTCATCAGGACTGCACAAAATCCAGGGTTAGTGAAAGTGATGGGGTTTGCATTACAGACAGTACAGTTCTGCCCTCCTGCTTGAGATGAAGATCTTAGAAATGCGAAGTATGGCCTTGTAGCTCAGGACCCACTTGGCAAAAAAGGAAAAGCCAAAATGCACATTCCAAGAAGTCTTAAACCTAATGTAGGGCATGCAGGCTGCTTATTTTTAAGCTGATCTCATGATTTTTAGAGCAGTCAGCAACAGAAGTACCGCTGATCTAGAAGACACATGGGCTAAACAGCTCCAAAGCCTGCAAGCATCAGAAGAGGAGGAAGATAATGGCCCCCCCCCCTCCAATTTCTTCAGCATACATCTGCAGTGCTTTGTCACTTCTCCTGCCTTACAGAGGGCTCCTTCAGCTTCAGGCACCCTCTTTCAGAGGCGGTGTCTCGCTCTAAGCCCTGACATGCTTCAGTTGAGCAGAGCTATTTCTTTCCCCACAGGACCTCCAGTGCCACTAATGGACCTGGACCCCATCTCTCACCCCCCTGTTCACAAAGCATCCCCCATTGCTCCTGGAGGATTAGCCTCCTCCTCCTCTCTGAGGCTGCAACTGCGGCATGCCCAGCTGTCACCCAGGTTGGCCATGGAGCTATTTTCCACTTGGAAGGGAATATTTGATTTGAGTCTCTGAGAGCCAATATATAGGGAGTTGCAGAACTTTTTTTTTTTTTTTAAAATAACTAACTGCTTTTTAGAGCAAACCAATGTGTTAAGCAATGGCATGAAATTAAAGAAGTCAAGGATTTTTAACTCCTGAGCTAAATCACATGCAAGTTTGTAACATCATTTAGATGACCTCTCTTTCCAGGCTCTTGAGCATTATTTAGCCTTCTGCTGGCAGTGACAGAAGACTCAGTAATAAGCATCCCCAGAGTCCTTCTAACCTCTGTCAGTGATTTAGTAGCACAACACTTTACACCCTGCTGTGAGTGATAAATTCCTAAAAAACCCCTAGAACTAGATGAAGCATCTGGAGGAAAGGTGCTAACGGCAAACCTTCTGCCCTAAATATGCCCAGCTCAAGCACTGATGCTGCTAACCAGCTCACTAAAATGAGAGTTTTCCCATTGACTCCAGGCCTCAGCCTGATGTCATCAGTGTTCGGAGCACTGTGTCTTACCGGGCTCTCACTGCAGTAGTAGGTGGCTGCAGGTTTGTGACTTTGCACACTATGACCCTAACAACTAGCTTTGGGGGCTCTGGTGACGTGTAGTCATGTGAGGAGTCTGGGGTGGGCTGACTTGATGCCCCCCGCCCCCTTGTCTCCTCTTTAAAAGGGAAACCCAAGTCAACCTTCCAAGTCAACCTGTGGCCACGACTGTACCCCTGCCTGTTCTGCAGAATTAAATCGGAAGACTGAGAAAAAGCATACATTTGCAAGCAACAGAAGAATGACAGTGCTGGATGGTGAAGTACCAAGGAGGTCAGAATCCATATGCAACAAAATCCTTTGAAGCCTTTTGTATTTTCCCTGGGAAAGAAAATACATTGCACTAATAAAGCACTTTTCAAGGCATTTTACAAACATGACCACTCACAGCATCTCTGTGACATAGGTCAGCATTAATATCTCTTTTGTAATCAAACAGATTGACTGGTGTCCCACAGAGTGAATGAGTGTCAGTCTGTAGCATCCAGGGAGGCTCCTTGCTCAATCATTATTTCAAATGACTCAAATGTCTATTTTGTTACACCTCTGGCCCCTACCCTGTAAAAATAAAATGCTAGCATTTCCTTCAACACCAGTTCTGCTTTTCCAGGAGAAAACCAGACGGTGGCAGTTAGGAGGCTCAACACCTACAGGGCCATTCCTTCTTCCTCTAAGCAATGAGCTCCAGTCTGATAGCAAAAATGACATTCCTGGGACATTCCCCCCCCCCCCCGCTTTGTGGTCCCTTTGCCATGCTCTAACAAAAAAGACTCAAGGACAAGCAGGATGTACAAGCAGTATTTGTTGAGCTGTAAAAGCCAGAGGATGCCCATTTCCAGCACAATCAATCCCTGGCTCCTCGCAGTCTGGTATGTCCTAACAGGGGAGCATGCACGTGCTAGTACACCTTGCCATTGTTATAGGCTAGCAGCATTGCACCCAGCTACACCTTGATTTGCACGCTAAAGGTATTTGTGTTTCCACTCCTTCAGATCCTCTCTTCCTCACTTTGGTCCTTCAGGCTGCTCAGAAATTATTTGCTCTATAAAAGTAGGTAGATGACCACTTGGCTGAGAGTTTCTGCACCAATGGGCAGGGCCTCATTTGCCAAAGCCCGAGAAGGTCATGCAGTTCCTCTGCATTAAAGAAAGCAGTGAGGCTGGTATATTTATCAGAGCAGAAGGCAGACAGGAAGAAGAGTTTCCTCTGGTAAAGTTTACCATCCAATATCTGCAGCTCTGCATGGCTGCTCATGTGGAAAAGCTGGTACTCTACTAAATGCTTTCATATTCTGATTCCATTGCATTCACCAGGTTCTCATACTCAGGATTTTTCCTGATGCATATGCTGTCATGGCCGTTGTCTTTCATGGTGAAAGTGTCATTGGATGTTTCAGTCTTAGAATTTGTCTCCTTGTGTAGGTGCTTAACAGGGACTTCCACATCAGTCCCCGGTCTCGTGACATCTGCAGTGCTATGGCTGAAACAAGAGAGACACTATTGAGAAGAATGACTAAATCAGAAGTCATTTGATTTACATCTTAGTCAAAGACAAAATGTACCACATATAATCTGTGGAACAGCAAAATTTATATTAATCTAGTGAGGGCCTGGGAGGCTCTGAAAGACACTAGAAAGTAACATTAAAAGAATTGCACACACAAAAAGAAGCAATAAACAGTTAACATTGGTACCATAAACTCTCATGGCATTAGCATATTATACTCAGAGGAGTTACCAGCAGACAGTCTAGCCTTTAGAAAGTAACTACCAGTAATAATTGGGAAAAATGGCAATGTGTGAAGCTACAGATGGCTAAGGTATGTCTCTGAATAGGAAAGCAGTATGACAGGATTAAAGGTTGAGATTAGGACAGGGCAGAAGATGTGTTTGTACAATTGTAAGCAAATAGGAATTGCACAAAATAATACTTGGATAAGCACTGGGATGTGTTTCTTAAAAAGAAAGACATGTATAGAAGGAATTTATCTCTAGAGAAGAGCTGGGAATTCCTGTCCTTTGCCTTGTGAAATAATGGTGGGAATTTACTACAGAGAGCAGTTTTCCCACGGCACCTGCAAGGCAGAGTGAAGGACCCAGAATATCTTTCTCTCATTCTAACATATTAAAGAACAGACTCTTGCTACCTCCCTCCCGCACCAAAATGTTAATGTCCTCATGCTGCTAAGTAAAAGGGCTGTCAAGGTATTCAGGTCCTCCCCCTGCCAAGTCAAAGAAATCTTTGGCTTTTCACTGAGCAAAGAGGCTTTTTGGAAACAGACATCAGCCCTCAAAGTCTTCTTAACGTCCCAGGTGAAAAACTGTACTCACAAAGTGACTTCATAGAGAGGTTCTGGGAAAAAAAAAGAGGAATCGAAGATGTGCATCGACATGTTTTATGTCTCACAGAAAAAAAAACCCAGCTATTTCTAGGTATTCCCACCTTCCGGAATCACCCTCCCAGCCTGCCTCTCCCCACAAGTGACCGGCTGGGGCCGACGGGGCCGGGGATGGGGACGTCGGGGCCGGGGATGGAGCTGCGGGGAGGGCCGTCCGTCCGTCCGTCCGTCTGCCCTGC